CGACTGTGGACGATAGTGAAACATTCCGACTGTGAACGCGAGTGAAACATTAGGACTGTGAACGCGAGTGAAACATTCCGACTGTGGACGATAGTGAAACATTCCGACTGTGAACGCGAGTGAAACATTAGGACTGTGAACGCGAGTGAAACATTCCGACTGTGAACGCGAGTGAAACATTAGGACTGTGAATGCGAGTTACTGTGAAGGCAGTAAACTGATCAAAGATTAGTGGAGCAGAAGGAGTTTTTCTTCTGCTTCCCTTCCAGCAGCAATTCAGAGGGAGGCTGGAGGCGGCGCGTTGCTGTGGTGAACTGATATTACTGTGGTGAACTGTAAAGTGCCTTGAGATGACGTGTTGTGAAGTGGCGATATATAAATAAACTGAACAGAATTGCAGACCGACACATCGGCATCACATGTGGTTCATTTCATGCTAACGTTCCGTTCCGTATGTTTTTAGTTGTGTGCAGAGGTTTAGGTTCAGCCCTGAAGGATAAATGTCTCAGAACTGAGAGCAGCAGCTGTGCAGCAGAGGGAAGGACGACATCCCAGACCATGAGACACTTCCTCCAACTGCTCCCCCCTCTGCTGGCGTCTCTAGGCTGCTTTCTGTCCATCTGCTCGGCGCCCGGTAAGAACAGCTGTCCTAATGTTCTGCTGTTTCCAGTTGGAGGTTTTAAATTCATCATCAGCTGATTCATTGTTAGTCTGAACCTTCAGTGAAAACAGAACATTTAGCTCATCATGTTAGAAATGGTTGTGCCAGTCTGGACCATGGGGTTTTTAACAGCTTCTTCTTCTCCTTCCAGAAGCTTCTGGCCTCCTTCTGCCCAGCTGTGTTCTGCAGAGACACACCGCAGCTGCACTGTTAGCCTCGCTCCAAATCTGCACGGTGTGGGTGGAGTCTAAAGCTCAGCAGTTTCTCTCCTCCTGGAGTCCAGAACGGTTCCTGCTGGTCTCACAGGGAGATCTGCCGGTGCGTCTTTTCTGCTTCATGGAGAGCCAGAAAATTAGCTAAAGAGCAACAACATTCAGAGAATTCTTAGACTTATTTTAGGATGGAAACAGGGCCTATCCTGATGCAAGGCTAGCAGCTACCCCGATATGTTCTGGTTATGGAAGCCATCTTTCCCATGATCAACAGGTCTCCTTTCAGCCATTAAAGCTTTATTAACAAATCAAAGTAAACATTAACAATGGAAGCAGATGGAGGAAGCAGCCATGGCTGCTCAGCGGGTGGTGGGAAACCAGCTGTTTCCCATTCCTAAACCTATTGGCTGAGTCTCCTGGTCAAACCCCTCCCCTGCTCTCATTGCTTTAGTGTTCGCTTACATTTTGCCAATCTCCAGATGTATAAAGGATGGTAGAAACTATCTAACTCAGCGCCGGGAGGCCGGTGCTTCAGGCAGGATCCTGGTGGAACAAGGGGGTCCACCTTTGACAGCTCTGAAGGGGTTCTGCCCAGAAAACATAGTTCTGGTTGCCCCTTAGAAAAGGTTTCATGTTGACCATCTGCTGCAAAAGCGTGAAAATGATGGTACTGTGGTTTCCATGGAAACCTGTAAGTAGAGTCCTATCTATGCGAGGACTTCTGTGGTATTTCTGTAGTTTTTCCCTGTAGAGGAGTTTTATTTCTATCTGTGTGGCTGACTGCTGTGGTTCCTCATGCTGTAGATGTTAATGGATTCTGTGGAGCAGATGATGGATCTCACAAAGTCCTTTCTGAGGAGCCTCGACTCGGAGCATCATCCCACTGCCAGGAGCCATCATCAGCGCCTCCTGAGGAACCAGCTGGACGCTCTGGATGGGGCTGCAAATGAGCTAAAGGTGATGATGAGGAGCGGCTTTTCTCATTCCTTCTTCAAATGATGCTCTTCTTTGTGTAGATGGATTATTCTCACATCTTTTATCTGAGACAGTTTGTCCATCTGAAGCACAGTAAATCTCATTGAACTGGAGTCCTGGTTCCTCCATAAAACTGCTTCAAAGCGGGGCTTCCTTCTACAGCCACTTCTTGACATCTACACATGTTCCACAGCTTGTTGACTAATGTTTTTCCACCAGGACTTCTCCTCTCTGGTGCTGGAGAACTTCTCTACTGATTGCAAGCGGATGTCAGGGGAGATCTTTGAACGCACCATGCCTCCTGCAGTCCACTGGAGACCAGGCCAAAGGACAGGTACAGACCGGACCCAGCAGGGCGGTTCCAGTTTCATTCCAGGTTCCTCCTCCTCCTCCTCCTCTCAGCATCCAGTTGTTGCTCCCTTCTAAAGTTTGATTTGATTAACAAACCTAAAAAATCCTGGAAGAAGGAGGACTGACGACAGTTTCCTGGGAGATGTGGTGGAGCTTAGGTGGAGCTGGGGTGGAGTTGAGGTGGAGTTGAGGTGTAGTTGAGGTCGAGTTGTGGTGTAGCTGACGTGTAGTTTAGGTGGAGTTGTGGTGTAGCTGAGGTGTAGCTGAGGTGTAGTTGAGGTGGAGTTGTGGTGTAGTTGAGGTGGAGTTGAGGTGGAGTTGAGGTGGAGTTGTGGTGTAGTTGAGGTGTAGCTGAGGTGTAGTTGAGGTGGAGTTGTGGTGTAGCTGAGGTGTAGCCGAGGTGTAGTTGAGGTGTAGTTTAGGTGGAGTTGAGGTGGAGTTGTGGTGTAGTTGAGGTGTAGCTGAGGTGTAGTTGAGGTGGAGTT